GAAATTCTTCATGAAACAATTGATCTTACATCAAATGTTATTCAATCGCTTGAACAACAAGAAAAATTTGCTCATGATACAAAAGAAAGTTTACATAATCAAAATCTATTGTTATCTTTAGCTAATGATAAAATGCGTTTAATGAATCAAGATTTAACATCTGTTGTTAATGAAATGAATGAAATTGATACACATCATGGTTGTTTATGTTGTAAAATGAAAAAAAAGAAAATTGATATAAAACCAATCGTTATACCATCTTATACAAATGAGAAACCATTAGAAATAAAGAGAAGAACTTCGACGATACCAGAACTTATTAATAATAATGAACAAGAAAAAATTATTGTTAATGAATTAAATCAAATGAAAAATCAATTAATTCTTTTTCAAGATCAAGTTAAAACTATTAATCAATCATTTAAAGAAGGTAATGAAATTATACATCAACTTGGCAATGAAACAGATCAATATATGCATGCAAGTTAGTATTTTCTATTTCATCATCAATTCAAAAAAAAAAGAAAAATGATATCATTTTAGTTACAACAGCATTGAATAAAGCTGAACATGTACTTGGTCGAAAATTTGTCGTTAATCAAGAACAACAACTAAATTAATTTAAATATTTGATACAATCTGATTAAATTTGTACAATTTTTATTGATAAAAATTATAGAAATAAAATTTGATCGTTTTCATTTTTTAATATAAGCAAGTAGTGACAACTGCAATAAATTTTTGTAGTCAGTTCACTTTAAAAGAGAATTCTTTGTCGATTGAAAGTATAAGTCAGCCGAAACGGCTAACGGTCGACTAATATGATTAAAGTAGAAGTTAAAATTCAGCAAAATTGAATAGTACCAAATTATAGAGCGTACTTTTCTACATACAACACAACCTTTTGTTTCTATTTGCTGACCCTTGTCAGACAAAAAGATATGGACCAAACAGAATTGGATTGATGAATAATATTAGATTATTTAGCATGATACCAGAAAGAAACTGATAACCATCATGTAGGGTAAGGATGTGGGTGTGGTTGTTGCTGAAACTAAGAAAAAGGTGAATCATAGCCACACCCACACCGTTAGAAATAAAACAAAAATTATTGCCACCAAACCACCCGGACATTCATCTCACAGAACATAATATTTATAACATAAATAACCCTCAACTTAAATATGCTATCATGGGTCCGTCCAACGAAAAAGGACGAAGCCGATGTTTAAGTAAAAATGTAAAGCAATGCTTACTTGATACTGATACTTCAATTGAATACTGAATTCAGTGCAACAATGTCTACTGTATCCAAGGATTGTGTCAGTTGTTTTTTTAGAAACATCGGATTTCAATTAAAATTCTTTATTACTCACTCATTTTTAAATCAAAGATAATAATAGAGAAGAGTCATATCATCTCTTTTATAGACTTCCATATCCTGTTGAAACCAATGAATAGGGGTGTGTGGATGTGGATGTGAGTACTGTGTGTGTGAGAACGTGGTTGGCTTTGGCTAAAGAAACAAGGAACACTCACACACGCACACATCCAGAATGAAATGATCGACAATATATAAAATACTGTAAGGAAATCGGGTGAGAGCGTGGGTGTGTAGTATGAGAGAATGACGTATGCATCCACATCCACACGCACCCTATTCTTTTAATATTTTTTTTATTTTGTTGAAGATCAAAAGGATCATATGAGAAATAAGTACTTTGTCTTTTACTTCAGTTTTCTTTCTATGTCACAATGATTAAAAGAATCACCGACCAGTCAATTATCGAATGCTACAAATTGTCTTACAATGAAATGTCCAGTCATCTAAAATATATATAAACATAATTTAAGACGCTATCAACTAATTTTTAGCATCGTCATTTATTTACTACAATCTTTTACGACATACATATAGCTATAGTCATATCTATTTTTCCGAGTTGGCTCAGTTTAGATTCCATCAAATGCAGTCAACTCCTTTGTAATTTAACGTTCATTTCTTTTATTTGTCCTGTTTCTCTGCTTCTCTCAAGATTTCATCATTCAAAAAAAAAGACATGTCACAAACACTCATAATTTCGTTTATGTATTAATTAATTTAACTTTCTCCTTGAACGTCACTGACAGGTAATTTTTCTATTGAACATAATATAAAGTTTGATGTTATTCTCATTTCACTTGCAGACACATCCATTCATTAGTTGATACGAGTGAAATAACTATGACATCTGCTATACTAACATTTATACAAAATCAACTCAATTATTATGGATATATAATTGTACTGATTTTCGGTGTTTTCGGTAATGTCTGTATTGTCATTCTATTTAGCAAGCGCCGTCAAAATTCTTGCTCACTTTATCTTTTATGTGGAGCAGTAATGAACAGTGTCAATCTCATATACAATCTACCAATTAATATCTATAGTGTTTATAATGAGAATTTACCATTCCGCTTTTTGGTTTTTTGCAAACTACGTTTCTATATATCGCACGCATGGAGTCAATCAGCTAAATGCTTCATCATACTTGCATGTATAGATCGTTTCATTCTGACAAGTAACAGTGCTCATTTTCGAATTTTTAATCGACCATTGGTGCAACGATGTATCATAGGAGGTGTACTCAGTTTCTGGCATATTTTTTGTATTCATTTATTAATCATGGCAACAATTACCAATGGAATCTGTAGTTTATTCGGTCTGTATAGTATTGTATACTTTGCTTATTATATGATTGTTATTTCTATAATTCTACCAATCATAATGGGCGTTTATGGTACTCTGGCCTTTCGTAACATGAGACGTCTTCATACACGCGTTCGACCGATGGGTAACTCGAATAACGAATATCCCGCCGTCGGAAGAATTCATCGTGCAGATCGACACTTGCTTGTTATGACAGTTAGTGAAGCCGTTGTCTGTGTAGTATCAACATCTATTTATCCAATCGTCTATATGGAGACTGCAGTGACCGGATTTATTGGTATTAACAAGAGTCTCGAACGAATTCAAATTGAAAACTTTATGATAAATGTCGGATCATTTCTCCTTTACTTCAATAATGCCGCTCCTTTTTACACATATTTGATAGTGTCAAGTGCTTTTCGACAACATATCAAGCAATATATGATGAAACTGGCATCTCCATTCACTGGGCGACCTGTTGCAACTATGCAAATTACAGCACCACAAGTGCAATCATAGGGTCTTGAATCATCTGAAACAATAGCTTTGTATTATGAATTTTATTTTTCAGTATTGAGATGGTGTATGTCTATGTATGACGTAATTGCATGTTGTCACAATAAAAATTTTATAAAAAGAGACGAAAAGTCTGTTAATATAAATGATAACTTGAGGGTGTGGGTATGGGTGTGAGTGTAAGGAAAATAGGACATTCACGCCGTGGGATACTAAACGATTGAATGTAGCTGTTGCGGTGCCTGATAAATATCTTTATGCTATTGAAAGTTCAGATGGACAACCTCTGCTTAATACAAATTAATTCTCATTGGAGTGATTGTGAATAAAATACAAGGAGAAAAGGCATACTTCTGTGTGAACGTTGTAATTCTAAAACAAAGAAATAGTCATCAATAGTACGAATGACAACATGTCGAAAACATTTTGATTAGGCTGTTTATAATGAATTTATTTGTATGTTTTCATGTTAGTTATTGAAACAAATCGATGATCACTCATTGTTGAAATAAATTCAAAGAGATGTGGAATATGTTTTAAAATCAAATTATCTTAGTTATTCTCTTTAAAATAGATTGGTTTAGCTGTTGTTGACAATAACCTAATGACTATTAGTGGATTTGATGTACATTATTAGTTCTATCAAATACAGATGAGCATATCGGAGTTAATTGGTTCAATTAGTAGTTAATCTAACTAACTGTGATCTGTAAATAATGATATTTTTTTAATGTGAAGACTGAGAGAGTAATATTTGCGTAGAGATTGACGTTACCCTCTACTATCTAAGGAATTTGTGATCATTGTTTTATGTTCTGTGTGATTACCTCTTAGAATTTCAAAAGAGAAAACTTGAGGAAAACAATAGTAAACAGTTATCTTAATATGATAAATGGGAATGTATCGACATCAAAATCAGATTCGACTTCTAAAGTAACAATAGTCCATCAGTTTTAAAATTATTCTTTTGAGTGTGTTGAAGTCTTCTGCAGTTGATGTGAACTAAAAGTGCTTTCTTTCAGTTTATTTCTAGTCTCCTGTATTAAATGACTAAAGTCGAAGCCAAACTGGCAGTTCTGGATACGAAATATATAATTAATATTTTAATTTAAAACAAGGATTTTGACACGTATTAAATACTTTCCCTACACGTGTAGTGCCGATATTATGGGTGGGTATTAGAGTTAACTTTCAAAAAATCTGAACAAGCAAATGTGTAGAACTCGTTCATTGTGGCTGACTTCGTGTTTTTTAATTCACGACGCATCATATTTAAAAAGTGTTGATTGTATCATGATAATGAATCAAATAGTTGAAAACTACATAGAGAATAAATTATCATCGGTTAGGTGGTAGTTTTGGTGTACTTAAAATACATCAATATGACTCAATACTTTATGAATAACTCCGATCTGTTTTGACACATAATTTTTTTTTCTTCTCGATGTAAAATATTTTCTTTGATTCAGTTGATTCATTTCTATGTTATTAATGAAAACAAATGAAAAACTATTATTTTAGATGATTTATATCACACAATAATTTGAGAATAGATCAAAATTTTTGTTTTCATATATCAATTCATAAAAAGTAACATGAATTTGTTTTTAGTTTAAGAAAAATAAATGAAAACAATTTGGATAGAATATTAAATAGTCCAACAACTTCAAATGATGATCAATTGACGTCATCCGAATTAAATAATGATTCATTACATGATAATTTAGAGAATCAAATAAAAGATATTTGATCTAATAATAATGATAATGATAAATAAACAATAAATAGAATTCGTCATAGAAAGGGTGTGGGTGTGGGTATCTTCTCGTCCTACCCACACCCACACCCTATCATGAATTTGTTCAAAAATGAAAGGCGTGTATTTACTCTCCGTTTGACTCATTAGAGTTTTTTTGGAAGTATAAATAGTGAATAGATGAAAGTATACCTTGAGAGAAAATCAAGTATATGATAGATTTCAGTTTTTATTTAAATAAATCAAAAAAGTAAATAAGGATTCAAAACGAACAGTTGCGTTTTGCCATCATCTTAACAGTGTATATGAGCGTAGATGAGTGAGAACATAAATGTAGAATAGGAGCCATTTCAATCTATAATCACATTCATACACTCTTCCTTAAATACTTTTATAGAAGCGTTTATGATTAAATAGTTTTATGGTAAAATTAAAGTTTATGTTTCAGTTTAAAAAGACGATGTTCCTGTTAATGTTAATTAATATAATTCAGCACTATTCAGATAAGTACTACTGTTGGCCAGTCCACCAGTAACTAATATTTGCCCATTTGCTAATGTGGATGCTGTATGATATTGTCGTGCAGAACTCATGTTTCCTGTAGTTGTCCAAGTACCTGTTGATGGATCATACAATTCAGCACTGTTCAGATAACTGGCACTGTTGTATCCACCAGTCACTAATATTTGCCCATTTGCTAATATGGATGCTGTATGATATCCTCGTGGAGAACTCATGTTTCCTGTAGTTGCCCAAGTGCCTGTTGATGGATTGTACAACTCAGTGCTACTGAGATAAGTCGAACCATTATATCCACCAGTAACTAGTACTTGCCCATTTGTTAATATAGATGCTGTATGAGCATAACGTGCAGATTTCATATTTCCTGTAGTTGTCCAAGTACCTGTTGATGGATTGTACAACTCAGCACTATTGAGAGAACCATTAATATTAGATCCACCAGTAACTAATACTTGCCCATTCGCTAATGTGGATGCTGTATGAGCATCACGTGCACAACTCATGTTTCTTGTCGTTGTCCAAGTACCTGTTGATGAATTATACAATTCAGCACTATTGAGAAAACCACCACTATATCCACCCATAACTAATACTTGTCCATTTGTTAATATAGATGCTGCATGACTATCACGTGCAAAGTTCATGTTTCCTGTCGTTGTCCAAGTACCTGTTGATAGATTGTATAATTCAGCACTATTGAGATTACTACCCTTATATCCGCCAGCAACTAATACTTGCGTATTTGTTAATACGGATGCTGTATGAGCTAAACGTGCAGAACTCATGTTTCCTGTAGTTGTCCAAGTGCCTGTTGATGAATTGTACAATTCAACACTATTCAGATAAGTCGAACCGTTATATCCACCAGAAACTAATACCTGTCCATTTGCTAATGCAGATGCTGTATGTTTATATCGTGATATAATCATGCTTCCTGTAGCTGCCCATACTAAATAATGTAGACAAGTGAGAGTAAAGCTATTCTTGGAACAATGTTAATTCAGTCATATAACATAAGTTGTTTATCTATGGTTTGCGAACTCAATGATTATAAGACGTTTTAAACTTTTCTTTGTTCTCATGAAGGAAATAAAATATATATGGAAATATTAAGTCAATTCTAGGAAATAGGGATATTAATGATTCTTTAAATTTTAGAAAGTGAATGATAAATAAAAAGAGAGCATTCCTTAAAGTCAATAACGTTCATCACGCATGCAAGACTGAGTGAATCTTCATTTACGATAATTATCGTCCAGGTAATTACAAAACATCTAGCATATTACAGACCTCGTACTGCTATTGATGTTGATGATGTTGTTGTTGATGATGACGACGATGTTGTTGTTGATGTTGATGATGATGACAATAATGTTGATATTGATGATGATGGTGATGATGTTGTTGAAGTGATCTGATCTATATTGGAAAAATGAGATTAAAAAGGAGAGTGGATAATCTGGTGAGGCTTCACCCAAAATTTTGCATACATTGTTCTACTAATAGTTTATTTAATTATGAGTGCATTGTGATAAATTTTACATAAGTTCCAATGGATTTACAAAACCTTGCGACTTATATAATGCTTATTTATAGGTATGCTTGTATCAGAATAGTTCAAATCCGTAAACTTGCACGAAATGCGACTTTAACAATGGTTCATTTGGAGTCCTATACAGCTGTGAGGGTGAAAAATGATGATAGAACACTTGTTATCGAGCAATTAGATGAGAACATCCTCGAAAACAGCTGCTGAGCATCAAAACTTTTTAAGAGCTAAAAATGTGTTTTTATATTTCAGTGGCCGTGATGTATTCGACTCTCTTACATTTTAGAATATACAATAACAAATAAATCTCTTTTCGACATATTAGGTTTGTTGCATCTATCGAAAGTAATATGTAACTAACTTAGACATTAACCTCGGCCATCTGCAACAAATAAATAAATCTTCCGATCGGTTAATACTCGTCTAGATTGATGAATGTTAGTATCAATCTGAATATGAGGTCGACATGATGCATTTGAAATGGCGAATCTAAATAATATTAACATTCTTCTCAAACCTCTAACTGCCTACAATAGAAAAGGTGAGATTTTGACCGAAAAAGAAATCTTACAAATTTTTTTCAGATATGTTAATAGCTCGTTGAATAGTGACACTAAGTATTATTTCTTTTAGTACAATTTGCACAAAAAAAACACATCGTTCAATGGCAAAACGATGATTTTATCACAGTATTTATAATATACTTACTCTGTGCTATGAATATTACTGATTGATTCAGAAATATCAAAGAAGAATTGAGGCTAAATTCAGTTACGATCGAAGTATAATTTGTATAAAACAATTGACAAGTCTGATTTGTTGAAAAATAATTTAATGTTGATATGATTCCATTTGAATTTATCATTTCGCATATACACTGACTTTGTGTTATATTCCATAATGATTTCGATATATTACCGATCAATATATTATTATCTATTTTACCGATAAGAATGCAATCACCACTTGAAAATACCAGTAAAACAAAAAATATCCAAAACATCTTTTACGACTTGATATTTTAAAATTCTTTCATAAATGTTTTAGTAACTAGCATTACTGTTTTTCTTTTCTTCCATTTTCTGCAACTCTCTTGTTTAATATTTAATCACCACAAAAAAGAAATTGCTGTAGATTGTTAGTCAGATGTCTGAGAAAAAATAACTACAGTCATGACTAGTATATATACACAAAGCGAGTAGAATAGCTACAAGGAAAAAGATTTGACTGTAAAAGAAGAAAATATTACCTCAGTTTTTTCAGCCATTTATAGAATTAAAATTAGCATCATCAAATGAATAGAACAAAAAAAGAAAGTTTTTTTTGTGTATATGAAATAGCTTTTTAAAATTAAATTACTATCAGGATACTCATTCAATATTATGAAAGAAAGGAAGAAAAAAAACTTGTGATAATTAACGAATTGCTTTATCTAAACGTATCAGTCATCACATGTGTTGTTGCAATAGAATGTTGTAGAAAAAGGGAGTGTTATTTTCTGAGTATTTCATATGTAATAATAGACATCAGCGTTGTCATCAATAATAATTAAATAGATTTGATCGAATATCGGACTTTTGGCTTTGTATAATTTTGTCAATCATATTAGATCTCTACAAACATCAGAATTTAAAAATATAACATGAGAATTGTTATCTTACTTACGATCAATTTGATTGTAAAATCGATTTTTATAAATAAATTTCTGTCTTGAAGAAGTACCTTCTATTTTAATATATTATTCAAGAAGATAGTGATAGGTGATCTTTTAAAAAGAATTGATTTACTAATTAGAGTGTTCAATTGCTATCGATAGCTTTGATGCAGCCAGTAATAAGAAAATATATTTATGACGTGTTTCAAGTCGACTACAAATAACATTGGTATTGAATTGTTCTTAACATCGTGTCCATCGACACTGGCTCATGCTCAAGTTGTTAAAACCATCTTGAGAATGTGAGTGTGAATGTGATTGTGGTTCTGGATTTCTCTTATCGACTTAGACCCACACCCAACCCTCAAGATGAACTAAGATAAAATTCAAATTTGATAGAATATATCAATAGAATTTCATATATATATTTATTTGTAAATAAAAGTATTAATTCTGTTCCTCAATTACTTTCATATATATGTATATACAGGTACTCTATTCATTTAATATAGATGAGTTTATGAATGGTATGAATTATTTTTTTAATATTGCAACACAAAGAATAAACCATTTTGTTGATAGAATAAACTTTTCCTCTCCTTTTATTCTTCTATGTTTCTGTTGAGTGTCTTTTTTTCTAATCTAATACAACGAAACTCTACTTGTACAGACATAACAATGTAAAGGTGTGTACCCAACCAGAACAAAGTTTCAGTAGAGACACATTTTCTTTTTCATCATTTTTATATTACTTTCCCAAAAAAATATAGAAAGAAGTTATAATTTGTGTTTTATGTTTTCGAGGTTTTTTCTCCATTGTTCAAGATTAGGATGATTTGCTGCTAATGATTGTTGTCCAATTTGTACAGCACGTTCATAAAATGAATGAGCTTTTGAGTAGTTATTCATATTCTCATTCACGACACCGATATTGTTGTAGGATTGAGCCAAATGAGGATGATTGGAAGGAAGTGATTCTTGTCGAATTGCAAGGGCTTTTTCATGAGATGAAAGTGCTTTTGGAT